GTTAATGATTCGGTTACAGGATCGGTAAATATTTAATCGGACGCACGGCACACCTCGAATGCCACCTGATTATAGCACGCGGATGCGTACGCGCGAGCATACGCATGCACAATACAACGCGCATTCTTGCTCCCGACGTTTTTATCGCCCGCGCTCTGCCATCCGCGGAATTTCGATAAGTCGAATGATTCGCGCGCGACGATAGGGCGATAAACATCGAGAAAATCGCGCGCGAGATCGCCGATGCGCCGGAGAGCGAAGGTACGTTTCGTTTTGCGACGCACAGTGAAAAAATATGCGCGAGCGAAAGATACGCGACGGGCCGAAATTTTTCGTGTTTTTACGTCGCGTCAATCAGCGCCGAGAGAACGAAATAGGGCAGATAAATTCTCGCGCCAGTGGAAATTTTATTTTCGGCCCTTTGTTGCCCCGAACTGATATTTTCATCCGGTGCGCGCGAACGCTTTGGGCTTGTTTGCTTTTGAGAGTTAATCGCATTTGCGAAAACAGCCAACCTAAGCGTTAATTGGCCCGTCGAAGTGACATTGCGTACATTTGTCGCGGATCACGACCCAAATATTGCCTATTTTTTGAAAACGGGATTCTTGATACAACAGAGAAAATATAACAACGTATTTGCGTATGAGCGTTGAAACGAAATCGACGCGAAAGACGTGTCGTTGATAAATGACGATATTCTATTGTAAGAAAAAAAAACATAATAACGACTTGAAAAATTTAATATATTTAAATATTTAATTATATCTATATCTGTACATTATATTATATTAGAGAAAAATTTTATGACGACGTTGTATAGTACAAATAATTGTAATGCGATTGGCAATGTTGGCCGTGACTCCATCGTACCAATTACGGTTCAAGTGAGAGATGGACGCAAATTGACGCAATGTACGTTCTCCGGCTAAGACGGAAGGATAAATGGGGATTGTTCCTGGCCAAATAACGTACCTCTACAACAATTACGACCGATATATTTTTAAATGGATATCACTACGTAGTCATGCAAGAGAGAAGGAGAAAAGATAGGCGACCTGTGAAGGGTCAGAACGTGATTAAAGATCTGATTTATATTATTGTAAAGCAAACCGCTCGAGTAACGGATACCCGAGTTCTACTGTACCACACTAATTTGACTTTCCTGACACGCGTGCATACGTACTTAGATATAAATGCGTGCGTGCGTGCGTGCGTATGTGTGCGCGCGCGTGTGTGTGTGCGGGCGTGTGTGTATGCGCGCACACGTGTGTGTGTGTGTGTGTGTGTGTGTGTGTGTGTGTGTGTATGTGTGTGTGTGTGTGTGTGTGTCTTCGATGCGTGCACTCTTGGAAGGATCGCGCGCAATCAACGTGCATCTGTTACACGTTCCTGCCAAGAGGGACGACGCGTCTGAGCACCGCGATCGCGTAGCGCGTCCATCCGATCGTACGTCCCTCGCGCGATCCGCGAGCGTAGTCCAGAATCCGCGCGAGCGCCGCGAATTTCGGCGTCTCGCGGTATTCTGGGCGCAATTTTGCGGTATCTCGCTTACGCAGAAAGGGTACAGCGAAACGGCACGGTCTCCCCGAGACACGTGTACGACGTCACGAAGCGACTCGCGACGGATCTATGGGACGAGATTTCCCAAGCCGCGCGGCCGTTCGATCTCTCGTGAGATTTCCCGGTGACAACTGGTTTGAATGGATCTCAGCGCGACAAATCGTGCGCGGGAGATTGCACGTCGGAGCGGACTGACATTGCGAGAGGTGGAAAGATCGGCGCGAGGGCAACACTCGCTCGCGTACGCCGATCTTTTCATCGGGATGGCCCGCTACGTTCCGGATGAGTGTCGTTCTCGCGGGCGTGCCGATCGAAACTCCGATTACGCTCCTCTTTCACATATCCAGCGAATTGTAAATTCGTAATGCGAGAAACTAACGTAACGTCGACAGGTGCTGTGTACTTTATTATATGTATGTGCGTGCATGGAGTATACCCAATCATTCGTCGTAGTCGCGAAGGAGCTACGAGGGAGGCGTCGTCTCTCGATATCCGAGACCTCGTCTCTCAGTTACATACGGTAGAAACGCTAAAGTCACGTGTGCGTTGAATAATAACGCGTGTCCGTAATGGAATTTGCCGCTTGAACTTGCAGCGGACGCGGGACTTTGGTTGGTTTATCGAGGCACTCTCTGATTTCCGTCAGTTTTATAACGATGTTAGATAAGCGAAGATAAGAGCGAAGGAGGAGTGTACTCGGGAGCGGATTCGCGGGTGCGAGAGCGAAACAAAGCGAAAATCGCGAGCATGAGAGAGAGAGAGAGAGAGAGAGAGAGCACACGCACCAGATCGTTTTTACGCGCCGGAGATGAGGATCGTGTGCACGGCGAATAACGTTAATAATAATACTATTAATAATAATAAAAGATAATGATAATAATAATAGTAATTGTCCGCTAACGATGTTACGCCAAAGTTCGTACGAGTGAAGTATTTAAACTTGTCTGTACGTGTATAGGGACACGATAGGGATACCTGTGAGTATAAAAGTAAAAGTAATAAAAAAAAATATATATATATACACATACACACACAAAAAGAGAAGAATTAAACGAGAGAGAAAAATACAAAAAACCATTATCGCTATTTTGCATCGAGGAAGTATATTGTAAAGTGAGGATTTTTCTCGCCTTGTGATTATTATGTTTGTAAATCGTAGCCGATTGTTAGCCGCTATAAATGCGATTGTACACGTAGGCAAGATCCCCCTCCCCCGCCCCCTTCTTCCTCCCCGCCGAGGATCGGACCTGTATTACCCGGATCTAGTGCAAACCGATGAGTTAATCGAATTAATTAATGGATATATCAAAAATCTCATTTTTTGTAAATATTAATTTAAATAAATCCTATTGTAAAGATTGTATAATTTACAATGGCGCACACCCGTGCTTCATCTCTCTCTCCCCCTTCTTCTTCTCTACTTTTTTTCGCCGCGAACACAAATCCTTGCTATCGCGCGCCACGTGTGGGCCCGCGCAAACCACGGCGACACACACGTGCGTTTCCCGTCCGCAATCCTATCCGATTCACCTCGTCGCTCGTCGCTTCGATCAGCGTGCGATCGTCGACCCGAATCCGCCTCGCGTTTCGCGATCACGAAGGGGAGCGTCATATAACGCGGCTCTTCCGTATGACAGTATTGCGACTCGTGCGCAGGATGTGCACGTATCACGTCCTACGCGCGCTGAAACACACGCGCATCCCGGGCGTCAAGTAATATTTATAATATCCTGCTGTCAAAATTATATCTCGAAACGCTTCAACGTTTATTTCCCATTTCGTTCTCGCAATCCGAAGCTTTCAATTTGCGTCAAGGCCGTAACAGAACTCTCTTAAATTCGCGGTATCGCTACTTGTATACACGCGTACAGAGTCGTGGCTAATTAACCAGCATGGAATTACGTTTCTTTGCAAGTGTTGAATGAAATGTCCGCTGACTTTTCTTCGGCTCCGAGTCGAAATTTTGGTACTATTTTGACACTTTTAAGGATAATTTACACCTGCATAGATCAGCAATGACCTACTTTGATGGCATTATATTTTTTTATTCCTCTCTTGAATCTTTAATTCTAAAATTTACTTTAGCCCCTACTTAAAAGGACCTACTTTAATGCTAAATTGGCAAAAGTAGAAATTTTCGACACCATCAGTTTTTAAGTAGGAGTAAATTTTGTACTTGCTGTTCGACCACTTTTACTGTCCTAGGTCCTACTATATAATAGAGTTAAAGGTTCAACATTTCGGGGCAAAATTTCGACTCGGGGCAGCTCCTCTTTTTCTCTCGGTTCGTTCGGTGCACGTTCAGGCGCCTCGCCCTGAATCTTGTCGCGCGTAATCGAGGAAACGCGGCTGCTGCTCGCGATAACGCCTGGAAACAAGAGCGGGTGAAGCCGGAAAAACGTATTCGTGTTCGCGTCATTGTCTCGGAAATGACCGGGGCCCGGATCTGCGTTCACGCGATATTACACGTTGCTTCCTCGTTGCGTAGGATGATCGCGATTATTTTTTTTTTTACCGGACACAAAGACGGGGATCGATAATGATGACGGTGCACGACATGATCAATGCGGATAGAGTTGCCGAGCGAGGGAACATGTGGGTCGAGCACACCGCCGGAAATCGGGTTACTTCCCGATGTAAGGATGTAAGTGCAGTCCGCTCGGAAGCGGATTCTATCGATCGCGTGAAATCCGCAACCTACAACACGGTACGAAATCCCGGAGGGCCAAGTTGCGGCTCGCACAGGCGCAAATGTTCGCGATTGATCAACCGCAGTCGTTTGAGTTATTGATAGCCGCAGCGAAATTATGCACGTATCGCGAAAAATCACACGAGTTGTCTAGAGACGCGATTTGCGCCTGGCTAATTCGCCGCGCACGGTCGGGACGCCGCGTTTCTTAATTTGTGTAACGTGATATTTAAGTGGAAAATGACAGGGAGAAGGCACATTAAAACAAATTGGTCTACGGACTGATTAAAAGGCCCCGGTGACCCTAGACGTTGATGTTACGGACACCGACGTGCGAGCACGATGTAACGCTGCCGCTGGCATGGTGACGGATACGAGATTTCGTGCCTGCGTGTTGGTGTACACCGTCGGCACACATGGACGGGATGTACGGAGCGCTTCTGCGTCAACGAAACTTTATCGCAAGTTGCGTTGTGCAACGGAGGAGTATTTTTGCCGTTCTTGATAAATTATATTTAACTCTCTCCGGCGTAACACAAAGTGTCATAAAACTCTCGGCCGTAATTTCAATGATACATTTCCCGAGCTGAAATTAATTCTCCCCCCGAAGAAAAATTTCCAAGAGAATCGCCATTCGTTCCTCGCCGCGAAAGATCGCAATAATTGACCTTCGAGTGGCAATTCCGAGGAAGGAAGATCGGAAGGATTTATTTTTAGCCAATTAACGTTCGAGAAATCGTATAGAGAGGCGTGTGTTCAACATTCTGTGTATTTTCCCACGGTGATTTATCACGCTGCTCTAATTCAATTAACATAATATTCAGCTTTATTAACGTGCGCGATATTCAATATTAATGTTAAATCGCAAATAACATTAAACTCCCGTAATTAATAATAATTACGCGTCGCTCTTTATTGGCGAAAATATTGCCGCCGCTCTTTCCGAATGCGCGCGGGGACAACGTGCAAAACGAATTGGGAAGTGACATCAATCTTCGCCGGGTGGACCCGCGCGGAGTGATTTCGCGTCGGCTGAAATCTCGGGAGCCGATATTTCGGTGTTTCGCGGTGGCGATAGTCGGTGTATCGTGCGACGAATTTAAGAAAACCCTCGAAATAGCGTGGCGATGGCGAGCCGAGAGAAAAGCCAACGGCACGACCTTGGCACTACTATAGCCTGTCGGCGCGGCTAAAATTGACGCAGTCTCGCGTGGGGAGCGCCGAACAATCACAATATTACTACGTTGTGTGTTACGAGTAATGTTTGAACAACATAAAGATATAGCCGCGGATATCTGATAACGCTACCCGTTTCGCGCGGCGACGCTACTCGTGCCTTTGCAAAGCGCCAACTTCCGATTTCTCAGCTCTTTTAAAAGCAACGTCGTAACAGCCGCGACACGTTGAAGCATTTGCTTTTTCGTCTCGAACCCGGAAATTGTAAGATTCCTCCGTTTTCACTGTTTCGCCGACTGGATCCTCTTGGCTACGAACGCTTCCGTCTCTTTTCCCGCGTCCTATTGAAACAGATTAGAATTACGTCTGCGCACTTGGACGATTATGATCGGTCGATTTCACCTGATTGTTACCGCTTGCTTTTTTATCGGTTTAATCGCCGATAACAAGTCTCGAGAGACTCTCATTCGTCGCGCGAGGCAGCCCGTCCACTTAGGCGACGCGCGTCGCGCTTTGCACGTTAATTACGTTACCGAACAGGCAGATGAGTTAGAACCCATAAATTATCGATCCGACCCGTAACTCGTGGCCAACGACATTTCATTTTAAACGCATACGCTCGCTGATTTGCTCGTTGATTGTGGCGTGGCTCGCGACCGCACTGGGAAACGCCGTCTCTCCCGGATGGGCGAGAGGACCGAACTCTCGTAGCGCCGTGGAAAAATTTATTCGAGCCTTTATCAGTAAGAAGGTGTCAAACAGTATGTACGCGCTTCATCTCACAAATATAACTATCACACGCCACGGCACCTTATCGCGAAATTGTGCAACGTCACATTTACAAACGCGCACCCGCTCTCGCGTTTGCAGGCAAAAATTTCCCCACTTGGCGAAAACGAGCTCTCCTTCCTTGGTCCTCTTTATAAATAATTCGTGCTCGGTGGGCGGCTCCTGACAAAGCGCCATCGTGATCGCAAATATGTCGCGTATCACGTGGCGGAGTGCCATTCGTTCCTCATTATGTAATTCGTTGCATAGAACGCAGCCGCGGGCGCCGCGGGAGAGATGCGCGTTTTCTATTGTTAGTTACGCGGCATTAATTCGCGGAGCGCAACTCGTTACTCGCTGTTAAAACCGTTGACGAACGAGGCTAAGCTCGCGCGGCATGATAATTGATAAGACCCAGCTGGTACAGCTTGATCGATAACCATCGTTTGCCTCGTCGATCCTCGTATTTCAAATATTTGCTGGCGATACGCGTTACGCACGTATCCATTAACGTTTCGCAATTGGCGTGATTGGAAGAATTGAACAATAACGTGCGCATCGAAAGATCTCACGATCCGTCCGCGGATATGAAATCGCGGGGTTTTTGTCGGGGGATTTTGCAAAACGTTGAGCCTTCAAAGTGAACATCCTCGTCGCGTCAGCGGAAGTCGGCGCCACGCGTAAACAGCTATTCAAATCGATCGAGATTTCCTCTTTCACGCGATTATGAGAATCTTGGCTTACATCACTTCTGCTTCTCACTCCCACATAACGTACGGATAGGACGATTAAATGTCCGTGACCGATCCGAGCGCAAAGCACACACGCGCGGATGCGTTGCATCGCCATGTACGACGTTTTCGTTATTTTTGTCACAGCAGTGCAGTATCTTGGCCATTCCCGCGGGAAGCAAGGATTACATTTACGAAAAGTATATTTGCGGAATATATTTATGTACGAAATGGCCCCTCCCGTTTTCATTCTATCGTAGGCAATCCGTATATTGTATATTATATGCGCGTATAAGTGTAATCTGTACAAGATGTCTATTTTTCGTAATAGTTTTATTGGAACAGTGCAGGAAGAACTTTCGTCACACGCACGATTAAGGCTGATATTACATTTGTCGTGCGACAAATTTTTCAAGCGTGTTGACTGGCTGCAGGATAGAAAATTTCTAAAAACTCGAGAACATTTCTATTCTACAGCTAATCGACACGCTTGCAAAAGTTGTCGTACGACAAATATAATATCAGGTGCCACCTGACTATTTTTATTCGGTAATAAAGCTAGTATGACGTTGAAAAGAAAACAATAAATTTTGTTGAAGGAGAGTGTAAGAGAAAGATGAGAACGAAATACGAAGTTTCTATGTGAAAATGGGGCAAGTCTATAATTTATGAAGCCTTCCTGCTGTAACATGTCGTGTGAAAACGTTTAACCAACAAACTTGCTCTCGGCTCGAAAAAAAGGGAACATTTTTGTATGTAATAATTTTCATTTAATTTGCGTTTCCAGTTGACGTATTCCATTTTACTCGTGAATTATATACGGGGTGTAGTGCATTTCCTAAAAATTTATTTAATTTAGCTAGTATTAACTTAATGCTAACTACAAATACGATTGCCTGTCTAAAGTCGACCTTACAAACTGTAGATTCACACTTCATTTTTGCATGGAAACTCGTGTCGTCCGGCATCTGGCTGCTCGGTCACATTTGCGCGATGTGTCAGACGATGCGATTTGTCAGACCTTGTCAGGCACCGCGCGTAATGACAGGAAGGCAATTCGAATGCCTTCGGCATTCGAGTCGACGAAACGAGTGTGCGTGACCTGCCAATTGTTGCGAACGACTCCTCCCGTTCGAAAGCGCGAGGCGCGATTTTAATCCGCGAATACCGCGCGCTTATTAAGCGCTTATTAAGCCTTCGATGAAACGACGCGACGTAAATTTTTTCCATAACAACATATCTCTCCGCGGAGTAAAATAATACGAAAATGAAAAATGCGAGTGTGAGGCCGAATTAATTGAAAGGTTATTGATGCTACGCTTGTAAAGTATTTCCAGGTAAACTGAGGATGGCGTGTCTTTTCAAGTAATTAATAATTTCGTGTATGAACCCGAGTCAAAATTTTAGTGCTATTTTGACACTTTTAAGGATAATTCACACCTATTTAGCTGACCTGTACACCTACATAGACCAGCAATAACCTACTTTGATGACGTTATATTTTTTTACTCCTCTCTTGAATCTTTAATTCTAAAAATTTACTTTAGCCCTCACTTAAAAGGACCTACTTTAATGCTAATTTGGCAAAAGTAGAAATTTCCGACACTATCAGTTTTTAAGTAGGAGTAAATCTTGTACTTGCAGTTCGACCTCTTTTACTGTCTTAGGTTCTACTATATAATAGAATTAAAGGTTCAACATAGGGCCAAAATTTCGACTCGGGAAGTGAAATCGCGAGTCATCGATTCGTTGTATGTATATATTATGCGGAAAGAATGTGTCGTCTTGAAAATTCAGTTGCGACAACTTGAATGCAAATATATTGAATAGATCGATGAATAGCAACGTCCGTTGCTGTAACATTTTATCGAGTGCATCCTCGACGGACTTGCGCAGTGCGGTCTCGAGATCGATTAGCTCTCGTTATCGCTGATTTATTTATTTATCATCTTCTATCGAGCAGCGCGGCGGCGAAGTTTAACTTGCAAATCGCGGCGACAGCTAGTTATACACGTACGACTCTCATGCCGTCGGTATCGTTGCTCTTCGCGTGGGAAATTCAAATTCTTCCCCGCGAAATAGCGGGAGCATGGCATCGTAATTGTAGTGTCGCGCGTACCTCCGATTAGTCGATCAACCGATCTGTGCGGTCAATCCCAACCGTTGTTTTAGACGAAGTGCTAATGACATCTCACGCGATCTTTCAAGCAGTTTTCGAGAAATACACGTTGTACCCACTTTCCTCCCGTCCCCCAATACCAGACTGAAAAGAAACGTTTCGCTACCGTAGCTAATCGTTTGCTAAAAGTATTTTGCCGTCACAACTACACGGGGTGAATTTTCTCTTAACATTTATCCTGAAAATCATATGATTGTGGGACAATACTGGCATTTTGAAGAACTTTATGAGAGTCTTATAAAACTTCACCATATTTAACATACATTTTACTAGTAAAATGTATGTGAAATATAATTACTAGTGAAGGTAAAATTTCAAAAAACTCTCATAAAATTCTTCGAAATGTGTTGTCCCACGATTATGACGTAAATTTTCACGATAAATTTCAAAAGAAAATTCTCTCCGTGCATAAATTTCTAAACCACAGCAAACGGTTTGCTGTCGCACCTAATACAATAGGCACGGTAGCAAAATATTTAGCTATCACAACTAAATATTACCTGTCCATATTGTACAACTGAAATTTTGTTGCCACATGCAGGTTTTGGCTACGGCAGCAACATTTTCCTTTCCGTGCACTATCGTAGAATTAGATATTAAATACGATAAATGCTAAAATTATATTTATGTTGATATTTAGATTAATAAGTTGGCGCAAAATGCGTAGGTCATTTGAAAAGCTCTCGGAATCAAATGGCACTCACGCAACAGACGTAAAATGCAAAGTTCCAGTCCTTCTATAAACACGAGTGAAGTTCTAACTCGTTTCATCGACTAGCTCATTTTTTTAATAGAACTTTGAACGAACGTGCCTGCGCGATTTTTGAAAAATAAATAAACTCGAAGTGCGTGCTGCGATCACGTATTACTTTGTGAAGAAGGGCATAGTCCGCTAAGGTATTTTGCACATTAGTATGCATATCTTTTGCGAAACGCCCCTCGTACAGCGAGATTATTAGGAGTAAGCTGGCATATTAAACCGAATGCCCGGCGGCAGCTGGGGCGGAAGTCGAGATGTATCGCGACGTTAATTAAGACGGATGTGTGCCTATAAAAAATGAACTATTTGATGGAACGAGTTGGAACTTTACACGTGTTCGTGGAAGGGTTGGAATTTTCCATTGAACGTGTAACGTCTGTTGTGCGAGTGCTATTTTTTCTACCTTATCCCGAAAACCTTTCAAGCGATCCACGTGGTACGAACGAGAGACACCCCGATAGGAAAATATTTAGCAAATTACGTGACGAAATCTGGATGAAACTTGGAATGCTGGAATTATGCGTAAATATTTCGAACAACATATGCAGAAATAGAGACCTTTCATCAAATTTTGATCAATATATTTGCACAATGTTTTTCTAAATAGTACGTCAGCGAAACATTTGCGTTTTGGCGAATCACCTTGGCGGAATATTTGCACAATCAAATTGCCGTCGTGTTACGACGAGCTGCCGTTACGAGGCGTCCCATACTCGTAAGTAAAATTCACGCGAGGCGAGATTAAAGCAGACCCAGCGGTAAACACGTTCCACGCTAAATCGTTTTTAAACATTTATTAATGCAATCATTGTGAAATTTCGCCCTTTTGGCAATGATTACACAATATTTGAGACATTTTCGTATCGGGGTAAGAACTGTTAAAGCAATTTACTGAGGGTGAAGTTTTGTCAAGTTCTAGCGTGTCTGTATCCGGACGTGCAGTGCTGCAAAAAAATATCGCAATGTACAAACGCGGTACCTTCTTACTAGAGACCCTGTAATCAGAGACTGACCGTACGTTACGATCGTAGAGGAGTGAGATAGCCTGTGTTTCTCTCTCACTCGCAGGAATTTGACGAACTCTTATGGCCAGCCTCTGACTACAAGGTCTCTACTTCTGACGGATCGCGAGTGCCGTCTGCCGTTGTCCCCGAAAATGGAAGCGAGCGACTGAGAGAGCGCCAGGTCGGGCCTCCCGATCGTTGACGAGCGCGGAGATCGATACGAATCCGCTGTAATAATACGTGTAAGTGGTCGTAAAGCGCACGAACAAATCCGTCGGTGGGATTCCCCGCGGGTTCCCCAAGTGCGCCAATCTACGTGTTTCCGGGTGTAAACGTCCCGCCACGCGGCTCGCACGCGTATGGGAAGTTCGTAGCGGTCTTCTTTTTCACGTATGCGATTCTTCAACGTTTCTCCCCTCCCCCGCAGCCGCGAGACAGGCTGTCGTAAACCTTGCAAATGCAATTCTACATGTGTCCACGTGAATTGCATCGCTGTAATCAGCGGCCCGGCGCTGCGACTGTTACGTGATGCATTCGCAGTGGAGTACGCAACCACTTTCGAAGCAATAATTACGACGGACGATTATCTGCGTGGTGCGTTATTGCTCGTTTTATTTATAGCGATCTGGGATCAGCTTTGATCAACTATTTCCGATTAACGTAACCCCTTTTTAGACCGTAATTGTAGCTGCAATGAGGTATGCGTGAAATCTAGTTGATCAAGGCTGGTAATAATAAACGCAAGCAGGTATTCGTATCGATGAGCAAAGGAGACTTTTGCATAACGCTAAATGTTGTGGACACGCCGTTTTAGCATTTCCTATATTCACAATTGACCATCTATTTTTTTCCCGCAGGAAAGATTAAAATAACTCGGGCTGTCCATGAATCTTCGTGCCCGCGTTTCGATTTCACTCATTCGCTTCCTAACAGTCGAATCGACTTGAACGAGATCACGGACCGGTTTTTCCAACCTGTTGGTAAGCTAACTAATAGTTCAATTACACGTCTACCTTTGTCTAATTTGACGGAAAAACAAAGATAAATATGGTTTAACTATTAGTAACTTTACCAAGAGGTTGGAACAATCGGCCCTGCGCACATTATGCATTATGCGAATATTCATTACGGTAGTTGTGAACGCAATTATTATTCGCAACAATAGACGTCCTCGAATAGAAAGGATCTTCGTGGAAAAAGATCTGCGAATCTTTCGGCGAGCCGAAATTAATATACGGGTCGATTGTACATGTATAAATAATATAGAGCTCTACGAAAGAAAGATGCGGAATCGAGCATTCGCGATTGCGATCGTGATTCTGTCTGTGAATATAATGCTAAAAAAAAACAAAGAGAAGAAGTAACGGCGACGATGTGTTTTAGGCTATTTGTATTTAAGCTAATTCGAACTACTTGTTTACGTATCCCTGGTACTCATGAGTGATTATACGATAAATGCAAATAAATTAATTAAATAGTTACCGAGTCTTGTTTACAGAGCTTTGAGATGTGCATCCTGTCCTGCCTTACCCGCCCTTCCGGCTTCTCTCTTCCTCTGCTTATTACAGACGCAGGTGAGTATGATTACTTTGCAAGATAAATGAACTTGAAGTCTTATTAATACACAATACATATTTATCTCTCATATCGCATATATTTACATTGTTACGTTTCTTTAAATTTATATCCGCGACATTTATTGCACATATAAATAATGTAACTCTAGCATAGAGATATTCGCAAAGAAATCAATATAGAGGAAAATTCCCTATTATGAGATTAGGCTTCTAATATGAGGTAGCAGATTTTCAACATCCAAATTCAATCACAAATCTTTCTTCGCGACGATTACACGATTTTCTGTATAAAAACGGGCGTGTTAAGTCGACAGTCGAAAGCCTCGAAGTATTATTGTCGCTTTTCCGAGATGCTGATTGATCTCGCTTGTGCGATGCAACGTGCTTTAGTCGTGTTATTTGCAGCTGTCAAACCACGCGAATTTTTAGAGAGAGAGCAAATGGCGCGCGCTTGTGTGTTGTCCAGGTAACAATAAATTTTCCGCTAAACACATTTCACCCCGAGGGCAATAAATTTATGATGGGATCAACAAATAATGCCTATTAATTTAGCGAAAACTCCGCTATCTCGTATTAGGCGCTTATCCCATAATAAGGGACTTTACATATTATTTTTACAAGAAATATACTTATATTAGTAACGTTGATATAAAGATTTCTTCAATGTTAGATATGTATATCCTTGATAAGATCAATATAATCAATACACACACAATTAAATGACACAACAGAAATTCGCTTCGAGTTGTGTTTGTTTCGCACGTAAACTATATCTTAAGAAATCTTTCTAACATAAGTTTTGTGGCAATACAATGAAGCTCTACCGCGTCTTAACCCACTTACTAGCCGTGCATGAAGAATTATCGAACGCATCATGGTATCAACGTCGATAAAACGGAAGAAGCGCGCTTTCCGTTCAACCATTTCCGCAAAGGTGATAGTTACAGCAACTAACTTGCTCTGCAAACTTGCTATTACCTTTTTTTCCATATATTTC